GTTTTCACTGATTTTTAAACTTCTGCAATTTTAATTTCTCCATGTTGTTTAAGAAAGACAAGATAATATATATATCTCAGATGTTTTACACTTGGTCTAGTCCACAATCCTGTCTTACCCTTAATATCATGATAGTGTTACCCAACTGGTTTCCATGTTTCTCTCCTGCTCGAAAACCTTAAGTGGCTTCCCATTTATTCAGAATAAAAGCCAAAGTCTTTATAATGGATGTCTTTACACTCATGCCCAAAATAGCATCTGCTCTGACTTCTTAGTTCCTAGTCTAAAGCACAAGCATTAGTTCACATCCTGTTTTCCCCATCATAAATTCAGTGCACCAAGACAAGGATTAACTTGAAACAATTCTAACTCCTTTTCCTTCATGTCCTGCTCACCCCTCTTTCTAAACAGTTACCCAGTCTTGGTTGTCTCATAGCCAACTTCACTTTGACTTTGTGTGGTTATCTCTGTTTTCTCTGCCTCCATCTTCTCACCTGGATTGCTGTAGAGGCCCCATACTTGTTCATCTAGCCTCTGGTCTTAGCACAACTGTGACGTTGCCTCTCTAAACAACAACTATGATACTGCTTATAAAACTTCAATTAGCTCCTGTTTTAGCTATGCTTGAGACAGTAGAAACCCCAGTTTTCCTCTCCAGCTTAATTTTCTTGCATTTGCCCCACACCCTCTGAACAGAGTGCCTTCCAGAAACACTGTGCTCTTTCACTAGTTCCAGCTTCTATGTTTGTTTATCCTGCTGCTTACCTTTCCCCATTTGGCAGTCTGTCTCTTGTCCTTCAAGACCCACATTTCTCATTTTCTGTAAAGACTTCTTCGATAAAACTAGGAGATCGAGGATTCATTCATTCATTCAGGAAACATGTAGTAAGTAATAGCTATGCAGAAGGCGCTCTGCCAGGTGCTAGCAATACAAATGCAAATAAAACATAATATCATTGTCATAAATGACAAAGTTTCGGCTTTGTCCGCATGCCTCTATTATAAAAGCATCATATTTAAGAGAAATATCATTTGAGTCCTTATCAGTCTGCAAATTATCCAGAGGTCAAATTTTGTCTTAAATTTTTTTGTATTCCTAGGATCTAATATATGATAAATACATGTTTCTTTTTTAAGTGGCCTTCTCTTTGATTCTTTACAGTGAGTTTTTTTTTTCTGTTAGTCATTATCATGTTTCGTAAATTTGTTAGGAGGTACTTTTTTTAGAAATGTAAATAATTTAGTATATAATAATGAATATTAGGTTGCTTGGCACTAAATATTATAGTCTTATAAAGTCAAATGGTACAGCTGTATTATGTATAGATGGATAAAAATATCACTGCAAGTATCCCTCTGTAAAAACTTTGGTTTTCAAACTTTTGTCATCAGAATAACTTGAAGAGCGGAGTAGCTATGTACATCCAAGAACACGAAAACATGTTTAACATCATTAACTATTAAGGAAAAGCAGATTAAAACCATGATGAGATGTTACAATGGCTAAAGTAAAAATAATGACAATATCAAGTGCTGCCAAGCATGGGCAGGAAGTGGAACTGCTGTTATTTATATACATTGCTGATGCAGATGGCAAATGTTACAGCCACTAGAGATGGTTTGGCAGTTTTCATAAAGTTAAACATACATTTACCATATGACCCAGCAGTTCCACTCCTGGCATTTACTTTGAAGAAATGAAAACATATCCACACACATACAAAATGTACATGAATGTTCAGAGAGGTTCTATTCATAATTGCCAAAACTGGAAACAACCCAAATGTTCTTGCATGGGAGATTGGATTAACAAACTATTATATGCCCATCCATACTGTGGAATACTGCTCAGCGATAAAAAGGAATGAACTAATGATATATGCAACAATTAGATGAATCTCAAAGGCATTAAGCTGGGTAAAAGAAACCAATCTCAAAAGTTTATATACTGTCTGCTTCAATTTATATAATATTCTTGAAATGATAAAACTATATAGGGATAGAGTACAGATGGATGGTTGCCAGGGAGAGTAGTTGGGAAGGGTTTAAATGTAGAGAAATAGCACAAGAAAGTATTTGAGGGTAATGGAATTGTTTTGTATCCTGATTATGATGGTGGTTACGCAAATCAATATATGTGTTAAAATTCATGGAAGTGTACACCAAAAGTCAATTTTACTGTATAATGATTTTAAAATAGGAAAAATAGTCAATTTTACTATATGATGATTTTTAAAATAAAATTTTCAAAATTATACACGCCTGAGCCTCATCTTCAGGGATTCCAGTTTTGTATTGTGAGCTAGGCCAGACCACAAATGGGAAATTCAGATTCAAAGATAGTTATGGATAAACAACCCAGACTTATTTTAAGATCGTTGTACTGAACCAATAAAAAAACAATGCACACAGTGAGTGTTCAGTAAGTGTTTTGGATGGTATTATACAGAAGTGAAAAAAAATGCCTGTGTCCTTCAAAAGATAAACAATGCACAGTATGTGCAAGAATAGAAATGAAAGAGAAGTGACTCCTAGAGCCTCCTAGTTTCTCACAGAGACCAGAGGGGTGCTCCCAGTTGGTGGCCACTGGAGCTGGTTGAGTGTGGGGCCCGCCTGATCAGAGTGGGAGGTGCTATGTCAGCATTCCAGGATCTACTTGCTACTTTATAAGAAAATTCTTCACCATAGTTACATACTCCTGCATTTAGCTTCTTACTATGTCACTGGTGCCCTAGCAGGCCTAGCCATATCCTCTCAACTAGGGTCTGATATAGGAGTCTACATTTATAACAAGTATACCAGGATATTCCAATGCATGGGGTCCACAGACAACATACTTTACCTGAAACAAACAGCAGTCCGGCAGTATGATTTGTACAGAGTATATCCTCTAGGCAATATTTTTTAGTTTCCTCTGTTAGCTCTGAGTGTTCACTCTTAAATATTAAAGAAGAAATGGAATAATTGAAATGATTCTCCTCTCCCTACCCTTGGCCTCTGAAGGAGCTCTGTTATATCTTAGCAAATACTCCACAACGAACTTTATCTCGTATGCCTATGAGCTCCTTTAAGAAGGTTGACAAAAGCAATATCTCGTTTAAAAAGATGAAAGCTGAGTGTGATGATCCAAGTGTAGTCAGTCATAAAATATGTCTATAAAATAATTTCTAACAGGCTGACCACACTATACAAGAATAAAATAAAAATACACTTTCCTTGAAACTTGACAAAGATGATCTTTTGTTAAGTATATGTGTTTTGTTTCGGACTCTAAAAGGCTCAGAATACGTAAGTTGTTATTTACTTGACTGGCCACTAGATGGCGGGGTGCATTAATGTATTACTTTTGGTTTTAATTGAAGCAGATTTCATGGAGTGCTATTTTCTTAGATCATTTTCTTAGTTATTATTATCTTAGAAGTTTAAATTTTTAAGTGACCCGAGAGATAATGTGGCAAAGTCTGGACTAGAACCCCAGGCCCTTGAAATCTCGCTCCCTGCCCATGTTAGTGCCCCATATGTAAAAATTGTGGAAAAGACTGTTCAAAAAGATCTTAAATTGTTGATGGTAAGATTTTCAGAGCAACAGCAAAAAAATATGCAATGTGATGCCAAACAGAAGCTTTGACTATATGAACATTTCTTTAAATATTAATCTAAGGTCTTTGATTTTGCAGAAAATTTTTCTCTATCGTGTAATGATGAGTCTTTAGTGAATCTTGTAATATTAATATTTTCTACTGTACTACTTATACAAATTGCAGATCAGTGTACCAAATCCCACATCTGAGCTTAGACCAGGCCAAAGAATAGACACTAGAAGTGGGGTTAGTACAGTAGTCCCCCTTTTCCATGGGGGATAGATTCCAAAACTCCCAGTAGATGCCTGAAACTGTGGATAGTAGTCAACCCAATTACCGCCATTCAGAATGCATTTCTGTCTGTGTCTTCCACCCACAAATGTAATATCTTTTCCATCTTTACTAAGCACTTGTTATGCACTGTAGCCATAACTTTTGCAATTTGAAGTGCAACAGCAAAACTAACATGAATTTATTGTATTTTTTCCTTCTTCACAATTTTACAGATACAAGATTTGTTCTTGTCATAGATCTTAGCATTCTCAGCATAACAAAGGTTTCGTGTCCTGGGCAGATGGGAGCAGGCACTCTAAGATGTCATCACACTACTCAGAATGGTGCACAATTTAAAACTTACAAGTTGTTTATTTCTGGAATTTTTCATGTAATATTTTTGGACCACAGTTGACCTCGGGTAACAGAAACTGCAGAAAGTGAAACCATGGATAAGAGAGTATTACTGTATACTCAACGCACTTGGAAAGTTGAGGAGTTAAGTGGTCATTGCTTTCCTATCAGAGATCACCAAGAACATAGCTGTTGGTGAACTAAGTTGAGTTTATTGACTCTTTGCAATTAGGAAAATCATGGAAAACCATGGAGATCACAGTAAAAGGGGAGGAAGTTTTCCAGGCAGTGGGTCTGTAATAGATAGTGAAAAGACCTTGAAGCCAGTGTAAATTTGTCAGAAAACGTACTCAGAGAAAATGTGGCTGGCGTGAGTGAGGTAAGGGGATGGGATTGATTTTTATAGGGCCTTGCATTGTAACAACTCTGGCATTTACTCTTAAGGAGTTGGGAAACCACTGAGATTTATGTTTATATTTAATAGAGTATTTTTGGAAGGATAAGAAACAGGTAATACTGATTGACTGCAAGAAGAGACACCTGGATATAAGAGACACTTGCTTTTCACCTTATTCCTTTTGAATTTTGTGTCATGTTTGGGTGTTATCTATTTTTTAAAATAAGTGACATAATTTTTTATGATTTTATATAAAGCATTATATACTAAGACTTCGTAATAACTGAAGATGCTTAAAAATAATTTTATGCTTTTTTTTTGTTAACTCATTCAATGGGAGTTCTCAGTAACAATTCCTTTTAAATGCTTTTATGTTTTGTTGATATCTACTCTAGGTGCAAAAGTCCAGAAATAAGCAAGTACGAGAATTATTCCCAGATGGTTTTAGTATTCATCATGCAGGAATGCTTCGGCAGGACAGAAATTTGGTTGAAAACTTGTTTTCTAATGGGCATATCAAAGTCCTAGTCTGTACAGCTACATTAGCCTGGGGTGTCAATCTTCCTGCTCATGCTGTTATTATTAAGGTAAGAGCTTACCTTCCTTTGCACATGGATTTGTGTGTCTTAAAAAAAAAAATCTCTGGATTGATTTGTTTAGAAAAATATTGTGATTTGGCTGTTTCATTGACTTTCAATGTTATTTATATAAGGTCAGAATTATTCTCTCCAATAAGAATCTAGTTTATATTGTGAAAATTTAACTCTATCAGAGATGATGAAAGGATTAGTTAAAGTACACTTTTGAGATCTTGCCATATTTGCCTAATTTCAGTATTCAGCTCATCAGGATTATATTTGTGTGTGTTTATGTAAATTTTTATTAACTTTTCCTTATCTAGGGAACACAAATATATGCTGCAAAAAGAGGCTCCTTTGTTGACCTTGGAATTTTAGATGTCATGCAGATATTTGGTCGAGCCGGACGACCACAATTTGACAAATTTGGGGAAGGAATCATTATAACAACGCATGACAAACTCAGCCATTACCTCACTTTGCTCACTCAACAAAACCCAATTGAGAGTCAGTTTCTGGAAAGCCTTGCAGATAACCTAAATGCAGAGGTAAGATCTAATGAGTGAAAGATTGGACTAGAATCATCAGCTTTAAGAATGACCAAGTACTGTACTCACCATCAAATTGTATTAACTGATCAACACATAAGTGCACATATATGAATAACATCTACTGGATGTTGGGCAGGGAGGAGGGGACGGGTATATGCATACACAAAGAGTGCAGTGCGCACCATCCAAGGGATGGACACACTTGAAACTCGGACTTGGGGCGGCGGGACAAGGGCAACATAATATGCTTAAAAAAAAAAAAAAAAAAAAAAATGACCAAGTAAAATAATGCTTGAATTGGTTGCTATTTTGTAGTATTTGGGAGTATAGTTTATGCCATTAGTCATCAGACAAAATAGGGTGAATGGCATTATTGCTGATTAATTCAGAGCAGTATAGAATGCAGATGATAGCTGATAAGAATTGATTGCTAAAGGACCATACTTTTAAAGTATGAGGCTTTGTTAGAGCCAAAAATCTAACGAAGACTACATAAACTGGGAAAATAGAAATAGCAATAATAATAACTAATATTCGTATTGTACTTTTGTAAAGTTTTTATGAGATTTATAGAACTCTTTGATCTCTATTAGGTCATTTGAATAATTCTGTCATACAACATGTGATTACTTAAATTAAACTGGAAGTATGATAATTTAGTGTGTGTGTGTGTGTGTGTGTGTCTGTGTGTGTGTGTGTGTGTGTGACTTTTGTTAAGATTTATGTAACAGGCCCTGGAAGCCTAGGTAACAACGGGTTAAGAAAAGAAACATTCTTACAGTTTAGAATATATATGTAGAATATTCAAATGAAGTTTGACTATTTTCTTGTGATTTTTAATTATTGCTTTAGTATTGAACACTTTCCTACTTCAGTATCCTTTAATACTGCGATCCCCAACCCCAGCTGTCCCTGACCTGTTAGGAACCAGGCTGCACAGCAGGAGGTGAACAGGGCAGCCACTGCCCATCACTCGCATCACTGCCTGAGCTCCACCTCCTGTCGGGTCAGCAGTGGCATTAGATTCTCATAGGAGTAGGAAGCTTACTATAAACTGCACATGCATGTGAGGGATCTGGGTTGCGTGCTCCTTATGAGAATCTAATGCCTGATGATCTGAGGTAGAGCTGAGACAGTGATGCTAGTGCTGAGGAGTGGCTGAAAAACAGATTATCATTAGCAGATGGGTTGACTGCACAATAAATGTAATGCCCTTCCCTGCCCCCTGTCACTGCCCCGTGCCATCCATGAAAAAAATGTCTTCCATGAAACCAGTCCCTGGTTCCAAAAACATTGGGGACCACTGCTTTAATACCTTTAAAATGGACTCAAGTAACTTTTAAAAGTAGTTAGGATGTACATATTAAATAAATGGATAAATGAAATATTCACAATCAAATATTACTGTGTAAAAGTCCTATATCAGATACTTCTTAAATAGCTTATAGAAATTTTACTTGCGTTCTATTCATGTTATTTATAAGTCTTTTTATCTTTTTTTTTTTTTTTTTGAGACAGAGTCTGGCTCTGTTGCCCGGGCTAAAGTGCCATGGCGTCGGCCTCCCAGAGTGCTAGGATTACAGGCGTGAGCCACTGCGCCTGGCCTATAAGTCTTTTTATAGAATGAAAAACATACTCACTATTCAGTTCTCTCTGTTTAGAAGCCTATATTCTAAAGGGGGAGAAAAAAGGCATGAAAACACAGTACAGTAATATTGGAAAAAACATGATAAATTATAGAAGAATTCAGCAGAAGGAGAAAATACATTTGGCCCCAGGCTATCAGGAAAGGCTTTGTTCATGAAGGTAGTAAAATTTGGACTGGATTCAGAAGAATAGATAAGTTTTGGAAGATATGGTCAGAAGTTTAAAAAAAAGGCATGAAAGCCTCTGGTTTCTATTAGCAAAATTACAAGAAAATTAAAAAGATAAGGAAATAAATTTTGACTCTAAAGAAAATGTTGTTATAGTTTAATTTCAATCCTATTGCCTACTATGATTGCATGATTTAAATAATTAGATCTTAAATCAACAATATCTATAATGAAATAAAGTCTATTATTGTAAAATGATAGTAATAATAGCAGTGACTGAGGACCAGTTATATACCAGAGACTCTGCTGGGTGCTTCATATACATTCTCTGAATCTCTCAATACTTCTGCTAAGGAGATATTATCCTCAGAAACATATGGAACTGACCCAGGGTCACTAAGTTATAATTTTTAGAACTATTACTCAAACTCAGGTCTGTTTAACTCTAAACCTGATCTTTCATTATAGCATACATTTCTATTATCTTATATACGATGTAGTAAATTATAGGTGAATACATTTCCCTATATTAATACTTAGCATTTGACTTCTTCTAGGACCTGGACTAAACATTTTCCAAAATGGTAGCCATAATTTCTCTGACTGACAATAAAAAGCAAGGTTTTTTTATGCAGTTTTTCTTAAAAGAAGCATGTCAAAGAAGACTATATCTTAATAAACTTAGATTTAATGTCCTCGATGACTTTTTATAAGTGATAAACACAAGGTGATGATGTTATGCAGAAGACACAAAGTAGTAAAATACTGCTCTTCTCCTCAAGGAACTATCTTTCTTAGGGACAATAAAATACCAAACTATTTGGGCAAGCCCTGAGAAATTAGAAATAAATTATGGCCCATAAATTCATCACATAAGGTACTTTAAATTAGATATGTCATTTTCAGAAATGTCAACTAACTATGAGCGTAATCCCGTTTAACGATGTAAATGGCATTCAGATAATAAAACATATTTTGAAATTTTCAGCTAATGTAGTAAAGTATAGCCATCGCTAAACGTTCTAATATTTTGGTCTGCTAGAATAGCTCCCTATTAATGTAAATTATCCTGTAATTTAAGGAAAACAAACTCCCTTAAATTATAGTTGAATGTGAAATTAAATTTGGTAATCTGTGGAAATCAAGTGTGAAGTTAGTTTATAAAGTGAATATGTGATGTGTTCCTAAAGTAATGGATTTTTTAAGTCTTTAGACTCCCAAAATCTTTGTAAGACTCTACAGTAGCAGTGATGAACATAAATGTCATGCTAGATCAGGAATTGTGGCCTCTGTTAATATTTTGATTTCATGAATCTCAATTCTGGCCATTAGTTTAGAAGAATAGGAGAAATTATTATATTAAGTAATAATTTTAATGCAAACATTTTATGAGGCATCATTGCTGATTGATGCCGTATGTGGCTGACTTCATAATCCTAATGTGGAAAGGTCATAAGTTCTATCCCTGTATAAAGCCATTTAATTTTACACTGAGAGAAACACTGAGGCATATTTGAGGTTTATTGAAGTTTTCATCAGACATTACTGGGTACCTACTATGTGCCAGCCCCCCGAAGTTCACATTTTATGTTAATCTTTCTGCAGCCTTACATACATTCTTTACATAGAGTTCTTCCTGTCTCTACAGGATATTGTATAAACACCTTGTCCTTGGATTTAAGGCCTCAAGAATATGACCAACCTTCCCAATTCTGGCCCTGGTTATTCTCCAACACAGGTCTTCTGCCCTAGATAGGATGTTATTCTTCTCACTTTACCTAAAATGTCCTAATTTTTTCATTCATAAAATTGGGATATTATCACTGGGTTGCTGTGAAAATTTAGTAAACATCTGTGCCAAGGTAGTATGCAGTAAATGATAGCATCACTTACCATTTTCTGGTAGTTCCTTGATACTCAGTACCATTTATACATTTTGCCAGCACTGAAATTTTAGTTGATTAAATAAATGACTGGTAGCATAAATGATTTTTCATATATTTACTAAAGTAGTTTATATTACATACACAGATATGCACAGATACATACTCATGATTATAATATTTGCTTATTTAGTTTTATGTGATTTCAACCAGTTTTTAAAGACATACTTACCAAAATACATACTCATGATGATTATAATATTTGCTTATTTAGTTTTATATGATTTCAACCAGTTTTTAAAGACATACTTACCAAAAGAATAATTAAAATCAACTTTAAAGACTAATGTCTAAATAGGTGAATTAGATGTGAAGTGATACTTGAGTCTTATTCCTAAATTACCAAATTTGGGATGGGTTTTATTTTCCTCTTAACAAAGCACAAAGTTCTGTCACACTATATACTAATGCCACTTTTGTAATTTTCATGTTAGATGTTTTTATTAAAAGCATTTTTGAATGTGCATTACGTTCTAGGTACTGTGGATGGTGGGTTGATATATGTCACCTTAATTAGTTACATATTTCTCACCTCCATGACTAGGGAACTTCTGAGGCCAGGGATCATGCTCTATGTGTTATCATATCCATTATGCTTTACATAGTACAAACTTATTACTGACTTACTGTATGATTGAGATGAATAAATAGGTTTCAAAGAGATGCTATGAAAACAAATACATGTTTTATAAATGGCCTCTGTACAAGTAGCCACTAGATGACAGCAAATATTTACAAGTAAATTTTTATTTTTGTCACTAGGTGGCATTCAAGTATTAGTCTTATAATAAGGTGACTCATCATAAATAACATCTGTTTTCCTGGTTATTCTCTTCCTTTTTGGTGAACATTCAGAAAACTTGCTTTACTTGATCCAGTCTTTGATACCTACTTCCACCTTTCCTTTAATCTATCACTAGTAGAAATAGATATTTATTAATGTTCATTTAATAAATCTGATTTTGAAAATAATAGCAAGCTTGTTTTATTTAAAAAATTTTCTACTCTTAGGAGTTTAATGTTATTTAAAAATAATATCATAAAGTTATGAGGGAAAATAGATCATTATTTTAACATAATAATCATAAAGTCATAAGGGAATATAGATCATGTGTCATGATTTAATACAATTTGACTGTCAAATAATGGAATCACAAATGAGGGAGACTATCAGATTCCTAGCCATATCATCAAACTAGTTTCATTTACCTAAGCAACAGAAAAATAACTTTAACTGTCCTACCTCTAAATCTTTACAAATTGTTATACAACTACCTGATTGCCTCAATTTTAGTTCTTGCTACTCTTCCTATTGTGCAGAGCCTTACAGTTTACAATAAATGTTTGTATTTTCCTACATTGTGAATAGCTTAGCCATTTGTAAATAAATTAGTGTGAATTTTAAAGTAAGTAGACAGAATCTCCCATATCATATTTTTACTTTTGGTCATTTCTCTTTTTTAATAACAAGTAGTATAATATTTTAATGAAAATAATATATTGCTATATTTTCAACTAAAGACAGGGAAGCATCCATGTATTTCACAAAATGTTATACAGAACTAAAAATTATAGTGTAGGAATTAAGCATGAAGAGTTTTACCTTCTTTGATATTAGGACTAAAATAAAATGGTTTGTTTTTTTCTCTTTTCATCCTAAAATTTAATAAGGGAGCATCTCTCCTCCTTTGATTAAAGTATTAGAAGGTAAAAAGATTTTTCAACTAAGGATTCAGGAAAAACATACAGCTATAAAGTTTCACAGCTTGGGTTAATTTTTAAAATAAAATGAACACCTTAGGTAAAAGTAAAATTACTATCTATAGATCCGTTGACTAAGGAAATATATTTTTAAGGAAACTTTTCATTGAAATTCTGTGTCAATATCATTGTCTAATAATTTTTTTTTCTTTATTATATAGGGCTTTTATGTTATTGTGTTTTTAAATTATTAAGCTTTGGTTTCATTTACTTATCACAAACCTATATTAGAATACCATTTTAAAAATTATATTTCCTTTCAAAATGTAATCTAAAGAATTATCCAATGTTTATTATGGTTCAAATGTATTATATATCTATTTTTTCTCCATAGGTTATTTTAAGTTTACCAATAAAAATAAAAACCACCCATTTTTATCATATGAATTTGTTAAAGGATATGTGTTATTAGTATGTATAAATGCTAATAAAATCTGCTTTGTTTTTGCTCACAAATGAGTGAATGCATTTTCCATTGTATTCACATTGTGTTATTTATATTAGCAGTCTTACAAATGGGTATCTTTAGAAGTAAAAACTAATATCATGCCCTCTGTGGTTTTGGTGATGACAGAATACAGAATTCAGGTAAAGAGGAACAGAAATAGCAATATTTTATTGTTTTTTTTCTGGTGCACTTACATTTAAATTTTTCAGTTGTGTGGTCGTGTAAAATGAAATTACAGTAAAGTAAATACCAAATAAGAAAAAAAATTAATTCATGCCAAAAAATGTCCTTAATGTTATATAGAATTAAACTCCATTTAGGGAAATATAATCAAATGCCATAATATTGTGTAAGTTCACTTCAGAGAGATAGTATTTCTGATGTATTATTTTCAATAATGAGGCAAGACTGACTTTTAGTTAATTGACAAAGTATCATGTCCAGTAATTGTGCTTACCGTCTTTTAAATGCCACATAATGATGTAATTTTAAAAGTTCACTTCTGATGAAATGGTCTTTGATGTAGTGTTTATGTTCAGCTTTAATGCATTACTTTAATTTTTGTCATATTTTTGAATTGCAGATTGCTTTGGGAACAGTTACTAACGTGGAGGAAGCAGTGAAGTGGATAAGTTATACTTATCTTTATGTACGGATGAGAGCAAATCCATTAGTATATGGCATCAATCACAAGGCTTATCAGGTAGAAAACCCATTTATTAAAAAAAAAAAATCAAACCTTCTTTTAGGTTCTATAATTCTTTCATGATATGAGGATAAATATTTGTTTGCTACTCTTGCCTCATATAGAAGAAAAACAGCTTTACTCTTTTTCAGAAAATACTAAGGAAAATTAAATGGACTCCTGTAATTATTTGTGTTTACTTAAATCTTTTCCCACTGATGCTACTAAGTTGATTTCTATCTTAGTATCAATTTATTATTGAGATATATTCACATTTGAGATTAATATTTTGCTATGATTTTTAAACTATGATAAATTTAGTTTTAGAATAAATCAGACATGAGTATTTTTGATAATAGGCTTATGTTATATACAGTCTGTACCTCTTAACAAGTCCCTTCTAAATCCTATTCTGAAATTAAAAGATAGCATTGAATTATGATTGTAAGAGTATGGAGGCTGCAGTCAGTTCTACTATTCAGTGCATATGCATAGAATGAGAATTAGCATGTGATGGCAGCTCTTCTCATGAACTTTACAGTTTTGTGGTTGATGTGGCTTAAGATTCAGTGAGATCTTGTCTTTTCTTCAGAACTCTGCTTTAGATACTGTAAATGCTTCCTAATTACAGATAAAATCCAGTTGTCTAATGAAAACATTATTTCACCTTCATCATAAGGATATTTACTAGTGTTAAGGAAAAGTTTGTAAAGTTAAATTTAACTCAAAATTACAGTTTTTCTTCATTCATTTTTAACTTGGTTCA